TGTTATCATTTTTAAAATATATATATATATATATATATATATATATATATATATATACTTTCCTTTACCAAATTTACCTGTATTTACTTTGTTTTCACATTTGGCGACTTTTTGTGAACAATGGAGACTTTTGAGGGTGGTTCTAGAGATTTTCTGAGGGAGGGGTTTGGCAACACTGCTGTTGAGGCAGCTCTGCTTCACGCGCACAATCAAAACACCGCACAACAGCAGCACGTGCAGCTCCTTTTTTTCTTCGTCTCTAGGCTATGACTCACTTAAGAAAACTACCTTGATGATAATATTATTTATAAGGTGAATAATACAATATAGATGATCTATTCACTCAGCCCCAGCAGTTCCACAAATGCAGTTCAATAGAAAACATTCAGAGCACGTTGCTTACAAAAGCTGTCTGCTTCTTTGACGGATAAAACGAGAACAGCTCAAGGGTACGAACTCCTTTAATATGTTGTTATCCATTACTGCAGATTTAGGAGTAAGAGAAAAAATAATCACTTCTCAATCGACCCAGGCTCATTTAATAATATAAAAAGGCCTCAGCATTAATATGGAAAGTAGTCAGGACGAGAAGCTAAACGAGGCTAGATCGGCCGGTGCTTACTAAAGTCCGCCATATTCAGCAAAACCAACCTATATTTCACCACATCCATATTAAACGACTATATAAAAACAATACTTTGATCAAGTATTTAAAGAATGAGTAACATGTCGGACTCACCTGCAGCGATTAAAGTTGCTGTTACTTGTGCAGCTGAGCTCATCTGTTCATCGCCCCCTACAGGTGAGGAAATGAAGCTTTAAGATTCATTTGCATTCACGTTTGCCTCCAAAGACTAATCCATTTTTTTTTTTTTTTAAAGAAGTTTCTTATGCTCACCAAGGCTGCATTCACTTGATCAAAAATACAGTAAAATTGTAAAACAGTAATAATGTGAATTATTATTACAATTTAAAATATTTATAATGAATTAGTATGATTTCTGACGGATCATGTGACACTGAAGACTGGGGTAATGATGCTGAAAATTCAGATTTGCATCTCAGAAATAAAT